CTATTAAGTTCTACCAATTGAGCATTCATCATTAGATAAGATTTTTTTTTTTTGTCAACAACTTTTAATTAAAAGTTTAAAACTAAAAAAACCACTACATATGTGATATATCAAATAAGATATACACTATGAAATTTCTCTCTAATTATAAATTTTTTCATTTAAAATCCAACTTCCATTTTCAAAACCTTACCAAAAGCGGAGTTATTGGTTCTTAAATTTTCAGAAAGTTATTGTCAATTTGATTATTTTTGGAAGTATGTTAATTAGATTGATGATTTCAGTTGATTTGTTATTCAACTAATAGATTTCGAACATTTATTATTATCGAGTGTTAATAAAAAAAGTCAAAATACATATAACACATTTAAGTATTTAACACATCTTCACATACTTTCTTATATCTCAACTAAATATTCAAATAAACAGTCCTACCAAAAAAAAAACTAAATATTCAAATAAACAAAAATTTAGCATAATTTTTACAATTCAAAAACTTTATATATCTATTATAAGTTCTTTTTTTATTCTCTGTCAAAAAATTACGTATAAAACAAATAAATATATATTACACATATAAGTTTTTTTGAATATATATTTTTGGCATTTTTTTGGGTCGGCCACATCTTACGTGTGTAATTTCAGATCATACGAGAAAAACAAATAAATCGAAAAAATCCAAAGGGCAAAACAGGTAAAACACCCTTTCCTCGTTACTTCAAAATTGGTAGTCAAATAAATAATTAAATAATTAATAACACGCAAATAAACTCACATTATATAACTCTGCCGAAGTTGCAGAGACTCTCACAGAAACAACGCAGACCAAAAAAAAAAAACTCAGATTTCAATATTCCCAATAAAAAAAGCTCTCCCAATTTTCTCTTCTCCAAAAAAAATGAATTCAGAATCATTAGAAAATCTCCACCGTCCATTGATTGAATCGTCGAAATCGTTCGTCGATTATCGTCTCGAGACTGTGTTAACAGATCGAGAATTGCCGTATTTTCGCCGGATTTATCTAGCGATGATGATAGAGATGAAGTTTCTCTTTCATTTGGCGGCTCCGGCGATCTTTGTGTACGTCATCAACAACGGTATGTCTATTCTCACACGTATCTTCGCCGGTCACGTCGGAAGCTTCGAACTCGCCGCCGCTTCACTTGGAAACAGTGGATTCAATATGTTCACCTATGGACTTCTGGTAAAAATAATCCTTAAAAAATTATTTCATCTGTTTTTGTTTAGATTTATTGGTTTTGAATAGTAAATTCTTATTAATGAGGTAAAAAAAATAAAGTGTATATAATTACCAATCACAAAAACGATATCAATCTTTTTTTAAAAACCATAAATGTTTTTGTTGATTGGTAACTCCTTATAGGTGTGATAAGGTGTGTACAATCACAAAAACGAAAAAAAATTAGTGTTACCAAAAGTTTGTTTGTTTGTTTTCAAAATCAAAAATTTCAATTAGAAGTAGCATTTGATGTAAAAACGGTTTTTTGGTCTTGAATAAATTTTACATTCAATTCACAAAAAAAAATCTATTAAAAAAGCGTAGAAAAATTACTGAAAATTTGACTAAAAGCTAGCCGGTTTCAACGTTTTTTCCTTATCAGTTGAAAAAACAGAGAAAATTTCTTGAAATATGAATAAAATCCTAATTCTAATCGTTTTATTTTTCCGGTGATATAGCTTGGAATGGGGAGTGCAGTGGAAACATTATGTGGTCAAGCACACGGAGCTCATCGATACGAAATGCTCGGTGTTTACCTCCAAAGATCAACAGTGGTTCTAATCCTAACATGTATACCAATGTCACTTCTCTTCCTCTTCTCAAATCCAATCCTTACTTCACTAGGAGAGCCAGAACAAGTGGCAACATTAGCTTCCGTATTCGTATACGGTATGATCCCAGTGATCTTCGCTTACGCAATCAATTTCCCTATCCAAAAGTTTCTCCAAGCACAAAGCATTGTCACTCCAAGCGCTTACATATCCGCCGCAACGCTCGTGATCCATCTCGTTCTTTCGTGGATCGCTGTGTATCGTCTTGGTTATGGTCTTTTGGCTTTATCTTTGATACATAGCTTCTCGTGGTGGATCATTGTTGTGGCTCAGATTGTTTATATTAAAATGAGTCCGAGATGTCGTCGGACTTGGGAAGGTTTTAGTTGGAAAGCTTTTGAAGGTCTTTGGGATTTTTTCCGATTATCGGCTGCTTCTGCCGTCATGCTTTGTCTTGAATCTTGGTACTCTCAGATTCTTGTTTTGCTCGCTGGACTTCTCAAGAACCCTGAACTTGCTTTGGATTCTCTCGCTATCTGGTAATTTTTTTTCAAACTTCTAATTATTTTTTTATTCATTAAAAGTAGTTTGATTTTTTACCTTTTGAGACGTACTAACATAAGGACATAAATCTGCAAAAAGAGAAAATTAAATTTGAGTAACGTCTAAAATCTAGTAAAAGTGTCCATGAAATTTAGCAGGAAACTTTGCTGTTAAAGTCGTAAAGTGAATCCTTTTTAAAAGAATTTCCATATTTAAAACAATTTGCAATGATGACAAATAATTTGTAGCATCTTTAGAGAAAGAAAATAATATAGTTTGTCGTATTATGGTGACACAAATTTAATTAGTGTAGTGGTTATATTATTTACCCATTTTCATTAAATACGATTTGATTTCTTTCTGTTTTGGTTTTAACAATTATTTCTTACCTTTTGAGACGTACTAACATAAATTGCAGAAAGAGAAATTTGATTTTCATGTAAAATTGTCCATGAAAATTAGCTGTAAATTTCTTAATTTCGATGTTTGATATAATCTGACAAGGAACAAATAATATGTCGCATTATGATGTGACACAAATGTAATTATCGTAGTGGTTAAGTATTTAAAGTGCTTTATGATTTCATTTTTTTCTGAAGAAGAGTCGAAAATGACGACTCTTCACACCTCGTTACGTCTTTTTCATTTTCAGTAGAAGATCTATAAGTTTTTGTCGTCACTTTGTATTTTTGTTAGATTTTTAACTGTGTCGTTTCCATTACACATGTGCACAAACCAGTTGTCAAAAATTGAAAATTTTGTTTGTTTTTGTTTTTGCAGCATGTCAATTTCTGCAATCTCATTCATGGTCTCCGTTGGATTCAATGCAGCTGCAAGGTTGGTGACAAAATTAATATTATTCACTCCAAAATATAAATAATCTTTTTTTTTTTGTTTCTTATGGGGTAACTAACACTACATTTTTTCAATTTATGTATAGTGTGAGAGTAAGCAATGAGCTAGGAGCCGGAAACCCGAGAGCAGCCGCGTTCTCCACGGTAGTGACGACTGGAGTATCATTCTTACTATCGGTTTTCGAGGCTATTGTGGTCTTATCATGGCGTAATGTCATCAGCTATGCGTTTACAGATAGTCCTGCAGTGGCTGAGGCCGTTGCGGATTTATCTCCCTTTTTAGCCATCACAATTGTCCTCAATGGAATTCAGCCAGTTTTGTCCGGTACAAAGAAACCCACATTTCACATCAAATCGTTATACATGGTAATGAAAGTATTAAAAACTGAATTTAATTTAATGTGCAAATATTTAGGTGTGGCTGTTGGATGTGGATGGCAAGCATTTGTTGCGTACGTAAACATTGGATGTTACTACGTTGTGGGGATACCAGTGGGATTCGTTCTTGGCTTCACTTTTGATATGGGAGCTAAGGTAAATAATTGAATTTTTCTCATGTAAATTTGGTTACAATTATTGTACCATATTAAATCATAATAGCTGTAATATTCAATGTGTGTGTATGAAATGGTGCAGGGAATATGGACAGGGATGATTGGTGGTACATTAATGCAAACAATAATCTTAGTGATTGTCACTTTACGAACTGATTGGGACAAAGAGGTAAATTAATTTCATTTTAAAACTAAAAGCAGTTTTAGGTTTTATAGTGAAAAGTTTTAGGCACAAATCTTTGTATGATTTTAGGTAGATTCAATGAATTGTGGTATTTATTAAAACTAATTTTATAATTTAGGTTGAAAAAGCTTCGAGCAGATTGGACCAGTGGGAAGAGAGCCGTGAGCCGCTTTTGAAGCAATAAATAAATTAAATAAAATGATTTATTTATTTTTGGTTTTTGGGAGTTTTGAGGTCAGATTGAAATCAAAATTTTTGTTTCCCCCAAAATTGGCGATGGAGGATCACTTGTAAGATGCAGATTCAATTGTTAAACTCTCGTTTTTCAATCGAAAAATGTATGTCGCTTTGTTAATTAATGACTTGGAAATTTGATTTTTTTCTTGGTGTTGTGGGAGTTTAAAATGGGAACAAATGTGGATTGTTTTTTTTTTTTTTTGTTTGAAGGAAATTTGAAAGTTTATAATCAACATAATTCAGTGTAAGAGTGGATATTTTTCCATATTAAAGAGAGTGACTAGATAGGGTATCGTTCCAATGTCTTATTAGTAGGAGTTAGGACCAAATACAATGGTCCAATCACTTCTCTAAATTAAATGAATCCAACCGCAGATAGCTCGAGTTTTAATTGGACAACAAAAATATGTGGTCCGTAGTATAGGATTGAATATGATAAAAACTAGTAATTCCAAAGACTAGTCTAAAATGAAAAAGAGAAATTGTTTTTGGGTTTCTAAGTAGTAAAACAAGACATGTACATAAAAGGCTAAACAAGTCAAATAAAGAAAACAGTGTTATAAATCACATATTGGATGGACTCCATAACCGTGGGCCTAATCCATATCCTAGAAGGCCCATGTCCATGTTCTTGAAGATTCTCCTTATGACGGCCTATATTGTACTTAGTGGGCTTTTGGGCTTTAGGGTTTACTAGGCCAATGGAGATTTGTCTCCCCTCATCATGTATATATATGTATCGAAACCTCATTCATTAATCAATAGAACAACAAGTTTTATAACAAACAGTTTAAATTCAAGAATTGAAAACATTGGATCTTTTTTTTTTTTTTTTTTTGAGCAAATGAAAACATTGGATCATTATAATGTAGTTCAACATAGGTAGGCAATGTACAACATCAAATCTGATATAAAGGGGTTTACGAATTAGGTGCAATCATAGAGCTTGCAATACTAATTAATTAGTAATCCACTTCTGCTGAACTAATTACATGTTGATTATCCAGTTTTGCTAAAAAATTTCCTTTACAAATTAAATAATCAACATGCATTAAGAAACAAGTTCAAGAAACTCACCAATCACCATAATATTAACTATCATTGACTAAGGAGAAAACTCACTCAGGACCTAAATTTTATGAGTGAGAGATTTTGAGGCCATTGAACTTTCCTAAGTGCTACTCTCAAAATGATCGTCTCCAAGTACCCCAACCTTACAGGCATCAACTTTGATCTCCCCCATGTCATCAAAGATGCTCCTTCTTATCCTGGTATATATACATTTTCCCGGTATTTTTTTTTTTAAAAACGATTTTTCTTACATCATTTGTTTAAGATTTGATCGAAAGAATGTCTTTTTTTTTTTTTGTGCAAAAGATAATTTCATTCAAATCAAATCATAGGTAGTACAAAGTTTAAGCAAACATCAACCTCAAAGTTGGAAACATCAAAGATAACTACTAGCACTCTTACAAGAGATTGGTAAAGGGAGGAGATAAGATAATTCGACGGTAAATCCATACATCGGAGACAAGAACAAGGTAGTAACTTACCACAAGCGAAAGAATGGTGAGTCGAAGACAATTCCACGAATACTTCGGGAGATTGTTGAATGGTCACGGTCCAAAAGAGACATAGTGACGTTGAGAAAAGGTCTTTAACATTGGATATCACCGGTTCGAAACACGCAGCTTCTACAAAGGTGGTTAAGGTATCCAAATGGTTTTGCAAACTTAAGATCGGAGACCAAACAATAGTTCTCTCTATTAAAGAGGATGGTTCTATCATAGGATTCTTAGACATATAGGAAAATGATGAGCTGCTCCCTAAGGCTCTAAGATCTTCCACCAGGGTTAATAAAAGCTCCTTGTCTAGACTATATAATAGTGTCAACGTGATGAGAGAAAGGAGTACTTGGCCAATCTCAAAACCATAACGAGACAATAGAAATCTAGTGTTTGACAAGGATTTAAGAGAAGCAGACCTGGGCCAAATTGGTAAATGGGTCAGACCATTTGCTTTAGTTATGGGCCGTGGTAAAATTCTTAGTGGGCCAGAAGCTGTCCAGCCCAAATCAAAAGAGGGATCGCAGCAAGCATCTAGGGTTTTGCCTCCTGTTGACTGCCACTTCTTCGAGTTAAACGACTGACCATAATTCCGACAAGACCACACCGGAGATGCGAGATCAAAAGAGAATGTCTTATTACTAAACAATGCAGGTATTGAGCATGTTAGAGGAGATATGTTTGTAAGTTAGTAAGTGTCCCTAAAGGCGATGCCATGTACTACTTAATAATATACTTGGTTTTCAAGACTCAATACCATATCTCCTAAATCTTGAGATCATAAAGTCCATCAAGGAAATTAAATCTATAAACATTTTCATTCGATTTTCTCATTGTTGTTACAGTTGATAGGCCACACTTGGAGAGACGAACAATATCTTCAATTCTTGAAGGTGTATACTTCCAGAAACATTCATGCCATCAAAGTTGTTTGCAACGCTTTCGGCATTCACATCGAGTTTCTCAAAAACATCTGAAAAAAGTCTCTTGATGATGGTTTTGTACAAAAATAAATTACTCCAAATTATAACTTTTCTTTTTTGACAATGAAAATAAAAATAAGCTTATGTATTAAAATCTCAAATTCAAGTATCAAAATTACGAAAAAAAAGACTAATACAATTTTTTATTTTCGAATATAAATAATTTTGAGTAACTATTCTTAACCGGATCCGTGGCGCAATGGTAGCGCGTCTGACTCCAGATCAGAAGGTTGCGTGTTCGATTCACGTCGGGTTCAATCCCCCGAACAAACATCCGGAATTTCTTTTTTTATATAATTTTTATCTTCATCACAAAACTCATCTCAACCGTCCATTATAATGACTTTTTAAAAAACCCATCAACGACTACGATTAGATTTACACAAACAAAAACCCTAATTCTTCAATCTCCGTCTGCTTCTCCATTTCACAGTCGTCTTCTTCTTCTTCTTCTTCTTCTTCAACAACAATCTAAAACCCTAAGAAAACAACAATGGCGTTACTCTCTCGAATCCGTTCATCAACCTCTCTCTTCCGTCACCTCAACGCATCACCACAAATCCGATCACTCTCCTCCGCTTCAACAATCCTCTCACCAGATTCAAAAACTCCTCTCACTAGCAAAGAAAAAAGCAAAGCCGCTCTTTCTCTTCTCAAATCCGAGAAAGATCCAGATCGTATCCTCGAAATCTGCCGTGCAGCTTCTCTTACTCCAGATTGTCACATTGATCGAATTGCTTTCTCCGCCGCCGTCGAGAATCTCGCCGAGAAGAAACATTTCTCCGCTGTATCGAATCTCCTCGATGGATTCATCGAAAATCGACAAGATCTCAAATCGGAACGTTTCGCTGCTCACGCTATTGTTTTGTATGCTCAAGCGAATATGCTTGATCACTCTTTAAGGGTTTTTCGTGATCTTGAGAAATTTGAAATCCCTCGTACGGTGAAGTCTTTGAATGCTCTTCTCTTTGCTTGTTTAGTAGCTAAGGATTACAAAGAAGCTAAAAGAGTTTACATTGAGATGCCTAAGATGTATGGGATTGAGCCTGATCTTGAGACTTATAATCGTATGATCAAAGTGTTCTGTGAATCCGGTTCAGCGAGTTCTTCGTACTCCATTGTTGCGGAGATGGAGAGGAAAGGGATAAAGCCAAATAGTTCTAGCTTTGGTTTGATGATTTCTGGGTTTTATTCAGAGGATAAGAATGATGAAGTAGGGAAAGTGTTGGTGATGATGAAAGATCGCGGTGTTAATATCGGTGTTTCGACTTATAATATTAGGATTCAGAGTTTGTGTAAGAGGAAGAAATCTAAGGAAGCAAAAGCTTTGCTTGATGGGATGTTATCTGCAGGGATGAAACCGAATACGGTTACTTATAGCCATTTGATTCGTGGGTTTTGCAATGAAGATGATTTCGAGGAAGCGAAGAAGTTGTTTAAGGTTATGGTGAACAGAGGATGTAAGCCTGATAGTGAGTGTTACTTCACTCTTATATATTACTTGTGCAAAGGAGGAGACTTTGAGACGGCTTTGGTTCTTTGTAAAGAGAGTATGGAGAAGAATTGGGTTCCGAGTTTTAGTATCATGAAGTCGCTTGTTAACGGACTAGCTAAAGATTCGAAAGTCGACGAAGCAAAGGAGCTCATTGGGCAAGTAAAAGAGAAGTTCACTAGAAACGTCGAGTTGTGGAATGAAGTCGAAGCTGCATTACCGCAATGAATCAAAAGATATTTACGGGTTTGACTGTTCCCGAGATCGGTATTTTCAAATTTTACGAATTTTCTCTCTTCATTTGTCAGCAATGCAATGAAATAAGTTTCTAGCTTCTGCTTAGACGATAGTAATCTTTTGAATCATCGTGGTCCATGTTAGATTTTCAGAGAGAATCAAGTCATGAACTTAGTTTCATAGGTTTATCTTCGTAGTTTTTGGTTTCGGAATCAGAGAGATCTTAAGCATTTTATCTGTAAGATTGGTCATATCATTGAAGCAGTTTTAGCCTGTCTTAATGGTCAACACTTTGTCTTCGTATGTTTATATTATATAGTATGATGACTATATAATATATAAAGAAGTTTAATCTCTACATGCTTACCACGAACTAATGTGTTTTGAGTAAAGATTTGATTGGAAGTTTGTTAAAAGAGAGAGATACGCGTTGGCTTATTCACGAACAGAGAAGAAAACCCTAAAAATAAGAAAAAGAAAAGAAATCCTTTTATCCAAATTTGAGAGATCCAAACATGGAAACATTCATATATAACAACAATAAGAGACGGCAAAACTTTGTGATCCTCCCGCAAATTCTCTTGTCATGCAACATCATTTTCCTGGGAAAGATCTGATCTTTCTTTCAGATTCGTTTTGCCCAGACAGGGTTTGGATCTGAAAGGATCGGTAAGAGAGACAAGATCGAATCTTTCCTTAGGGGATTCATTTCAAAGTGTTTGTTTTTGTCTGAAGATCAAGAACACAAAAGAAAAAAAGAAAAAAACGGAGGAAGGAAGAAGAAAAATGATGAAGCTTTGTCCTTGTTTCATCAACCCGCAACAACTCGGACCTAATTCGCCTAGAGATTCATTTGATGAAGGTCTTACAGCTTATAGAGGCCATAGCCGTAAACTTTTTGCTCTGTTCACATTTCGCTCACACCGAAAAGGTACTCGTAAATGTTGTCACTTCTTTGTCTAATCAACCTTCTCAAAGATTTGATCATATCATTTGGTTTCTGAAAATGTTTATGAACATTGATAAATGCAGGAAGCTGCAGGCAGAAGTATATAACAGAGGAGATAAAGAAGTATGGGAACGTGAAGAACTGCGGTCGAATCTTCAAATTCAAGGAACTAATAGCTGCAACCGATAATTTCAGCATGGATTGTATGATTGGAGAAGGCGGTTTCGGAAGAGTCTACAAAGGGTTCCTCAGCAGTCTCAATCAGGTCCTTTTTCAATATCTCAATCATCTTATATAAGTGTGCGAATTTGGCGAAAAGTTGCTAATTTTTGTTTGATTGAATGATGAGAAGTTTAGGTGGTGGCTGTAAAGAGGCTTGATAGGAATGGATTGCAAGGAACAAGAGAGTTCTTTGCAGAAGTGATGGTATTGAGTTTGGCTCAACATCCAAACCTTGTCAATCTCATTGGCTATTGCGTGGAAGACGACCAACGAGTCCTCGTTTACGAATTCATGCCCAACGGATCTTTGGAAGATCATTTGTTCGGTAAAATCTATGACCTTTTTCATTATTATATCATCAACATCAAGCATTTGATATATAATCTAATGTTTTAATCTTTATTCACTGTATAGACTTACCAGAAGAGGCACCAAGTCTAGACTGGTTCACGAGAATGCGGATAGTGCATGGTGCAGCTAAAGGGCTCGAGTACTTGCACGATTATGCAGATCCTCCTGTGATCTACCGCGATTTCAAAGCTTCAAACATATTGTTACAATCTGATTTCAACTCAAAGCTATCAGATTTTGGGTTAGCTAGGCTTGGACCAACTGAAGGCAAAGATCATGTGTCGACTAGAGTCATGGGAACATACGGATACTGTGCTCCTGAATACGCGATGACTGGTCAACTCACTGCTAAATCCGATGTTTACAGCTTCGGTGTTGTCCTCCTTGAGATAATTTCTGGGAGACGAGCTATTGATGGCGATAGACCAACTGAAGAACAAAACTTGATCTCTTGGGTACTTCATCAAGCAAGAGTCTTGTTAAAATGTTTTTTTTGTTGCTTGAGAAGGAAGAAACCGATTAAAGTCTTTTTTTTTTGCAGGCGGAACCGTTGTTGAAAGATAGAAGGATGTTTGCACAGATTGTGGATCCAAATCTAGAAGGGAATTACCCAGTAAAAGGGTTGCATCAAGCTCTAGCGATTGCAGCAATGTGTTTGCAAGAAGAAGCAGAGACTAGGCCATTGATGGGAGATGTGGTCACAGCACTTGAGTTCTTGGCTAAGCCTATAGAGGTTGTTGATAACACTAATACTACTCCTGCCGCCTCTGCTACTCAGACATCATCATCTGATTCATAAAACTAAACTTTTTTTTTTCAATCCTTTAAAACATTTTTTTTTTCTTTTAACGTAAAATCCAAGAAAAGTAATTAGGGTTAGAGTTCGAAGTCAATCGGATGCAAAAACAATTCTTTGTAATATGGTGTAATTTGGCATTGGGGAGATCGCATCATCTGTGAATCACATTATTAATCTCATACTACACTTTTTTTTTGATGATCTCTTTTATTTAAATTCCAAAAATTTTGAACCTATTCCGTTCCCGAATTTGTCATCAGTAATCAAATCTGTTTCACTGCGAGTCTGTGACTGTCTATTGCTATACGCCATGAAAAAGAGTTTTTTTTTTTTTCTTATAATCGAAACTAGATTTCGCTAAGAAAATTGTAACAATATCTTTCTCATACCGCTTAAATGTTTCAAAAGCAATAAACTTATTTGATACTTATATTTGCAGAAAACGAACAAAACTTTGATATTGTTTTTTGTATCTCTCTCAATTTTCTTTTCCTCTCCCCACGAGTCAAAAAGGTATAAAAATTTGTATTTTTGTCTTTTCTATACATTAGGAAGATGACAAGTGTACCTGAGCTTTCGATGAGAGGCAAGAGCTTTTTGAAGAGCAACATCAACTCTTGAATTCTCTCTGAACAACTGATCATATAAC